TGCTTCTTTTGTGATGAACTCCACAAACTGACTGAATGTAGGAAAATCATTACAAGTTTCTTCGATCTCAATCACCTTTCTGTTCCAACTGGCTACCAACCAATCAGGAAGCTTTGTGAGAAGTTTTTGATTTTCATCACAGGTGTTCAATACATCTAGACCTTTAATCTGGGACATTGCAGCCTGGCAGCCCCTGAGAAAGTCTGAAAAATCCCTCAGTTCAACACTGTCTCTGGGTCCTATTTTGGGCCATGATGCAAGCTTATCCTTGAAAGCTTTAGCTATCACAAATGAGCTTCCAAATCTTTCTTCCAGGATAACCCATGCTGAATCATAAGCTGCATCTGTTCCTAACAGGAAATAACTTTCAATGGCCTTTCTTGCTGAACCACCAACGTATTTACGAAGGTAGTAAACTCTTTCATTTACTGGAATGTTTTTCCTGCCTATTAGCGTTTGAAATGACATTTTCCAATCCTTGTATCTTAATGGGTCTCCAGTAAAAACAGAAGGTTCAGGTACCGGGAGACGGCTCACATTAATAGACTCTGCTATTGCTTCAGCAAGAACTGTGGCACTGTCTGCTTGGGGTGGATGCTCATGGGAACTTCTTTTAACTCCTGAGGATTGATGTCGTTCAACTCCTCGGTTATGAAGTAACTCTGCAATTTCTTCATCTGAGCTTGCTTCTTGTTCATAAACTTGCAACCGTGCCTTTGCCACACTTAACTTCTTAACAGTCTGTAGACGTTCTATTTGTCTGCGTTTTTCTTCCAGTGCTTTCTTTCTTGCTACATTTTCTTCCTCTTGTAATGCCATCCACTTTCGATCTTCTTCTTCAAGGTTATCAAGTTCTCTGCCGCCCCTTCCGCGCCGCTCATATCGCGCGTGACGCGACGCACAACCCCTTGAGGCGCGTTCGCCATAGACTTTGCATGTAAACTGGCAGCTCCTKCCGCTCAAAACGCTCTCGGTGTGAACGAGCCATTAGGATCTGCTCGCTTCCTTTCTTCTTCGCAGTCCCTTCTTCTTGCTGCTTCCTCTCCAAGCTGAGGCACGAAGACGCTTGCTTCTGTACTTGATCCCCTTTTATACTTTTTCTCGGCCTGCTCACCCCCTCCTTACTCATCTGTGGTAATTCCGGGACTTTCCACTCTGTACTTCCCCATTGAGAGCTGCTCTTGCTTAATCTAAAACAAAGGCTGTTAGGGGCTGCTTCTTTGGTGAGCCAAGCACATTTAGATCCCAGGGAATGTCCAGAATGTCCACCTATCTGTTATCTTTGTTCTCCAGAAATATCACCTCTATGGAATAGCACACACTCTTTCTTCATGTTAGCATGCACCGACTCTCTCCTTCTTTTATACCACCATCTTTACATTTTAAAACACATTAATCATCACAGTACATTAAGTCGCACTATGTACATTAAATCACATTACAAGTAATCACACTCATTGCTCTAGTTACATGTTTTTACCATTATTAATTAAAATTACAATAATCACTTAAGCTCCCTCTGCTTTTTCATCCTCTTCGCCTCTCGGGCCTCACTCCGATCTTGCTTGTGACCTCTTTTCCTCTCGGGTTCCTTCCTTCGCTTTAATTCTAATTGGGGCTCCGCAGGTCTGATTCCAATTATTCCCGTGTTTAGGGTGTCCTGGTCTCTTGACACCCTCTCCTTGGAATTAGGCATAGGAGCCCGAACAATATGGGCAGGAGGAATCAATGGTTGGATTTTGGTAGGGACACATGGAGGATAATGGGGATGATGCGGAAGGGGCCCAGACCTAGTGAAGGGTGTGGGGGGCTTCCGAGCTCTTGGGAGGTCCCATCTTATTAGGCCGGTATCTTCTGTCATATCCTTCAGCCTTAGGCTGATGCCAGTTTCTCACTGCCCTATTCACCGCATCTCTATACGTATTCCTGTCAATGCAGCTTTCCTTCTTCTTGGGAGGGGAGTTGGAGCCCTTGTAGGGTGCGTTTCCCAACGCCACCTTCCGTTACCGGTGGGCCCAGCCTGGCCTTGACAGGGGTAGCAGGGCGTTTTTCTTCCACGTTGCGAGGATGCAGGGTATCTGGATTACCAGACAAAGGGGGGCGAGGAACCGTCAGCTCAAGATCAAAATTGGAGGGGCCAGGAGACAGGGTCAACAGATCAGTAGAAACCTGATGAGATGGTGGGGCTGCATCTTCTGCAACAGGGATATCTGTCACTGACCTGGGTCGGGTGTGGGTGAGATCCAGCAATGACGGACGGGCTGCATCGACCTGGAGAGGGGGGGGTCCAAATCGATAGTTTCCAGGGTTGGCATGGGTTCATGAGGTAACACCTCCTTAGAACTACCATTCAGCCAGGCATTGAGGACAGGGTCATGGAGGGCCTCATGCAGTTGTGACACGTCCTGAGGAACAGGTTCAGTCATAGAGTAGGATGGCACCGTTATGATGTGTAGGAGCGGCAGGTCGGCCTCCGCCTGTTGTGCGGCATTCATCCTTTCATCTGGCTGACTGATATGTAGATCCACCAGGGCATTGTCGGGGGTATGGAGGCTGATACACTTGCAGTTAGAGGACAGGGACTTCCAGGTCTTCTGGATAAGGGAGATGGTACACTCCTGATGAACATCGACAGGTACAAGGAGTTCAGGACGGTTTGGGTCCTGTAGGGAACAACGGATCAATCGACCATCCTTGTGTAGCATTAGGCTTTGGGAGAAGTCAGCTCGGGGGCAACTTTGGATCCCATCTCTCAGTATGATGGTTGTAGCCACCGGGATTCCATAGTAGGAGGCATAGCACAGAGTGCACCATGCAGCCACGAGGTACTCCCAGAGATACGGGAACTCCTTTAAGCCTTTGCCGCAGTCTGCACAACGTTGTACCTGTCAGAACACAGGGGTTAAGGAGAGTATGGGTGATCAAAAATACTACACAACTTTAAGCGCAAGATTAAACAATAAGTTGTATGCACACAAAATTTAAAAATTAAAAATAGCAACATAAATCATAAAAAAACAGAAAAATGTGGCTTCAAGCAGCAAAAAGCAAAAGATTTTTAACCCTTTTGAGGATTGGGACTGTTTAGGAAGTCAGAGGCATCAAAGGGAGATAAATCAGGGGGATCGATCCAACATTGGAGCGGGCGAACTCGGCTGGGCTGGGTGGTGATTGGAGCGTTTCTAAGAGGAGGAGCGGGTGATTCATGCGAGGCTGGATCGGCTGAGACAGCCACGGGGAGGAGGGCAGCATAGGTCATAAACCAGGCAAGAATTGACAGTTCGCTGAGTAGGCCCATCCAGTATAAGGCAGAATAGATGCTCCAGACTATGCCCCATAGGACAAGGCGGAGGAACCGTAGGAACCAGGCTACTTTCCCACTCGTGAGGTGGCAGGTTTCTCGACCGATGAAAAAAAGAACAGTCATGGCCAGCATACCTTCCCAGACCACCAAGATGATATACTCAGGGGCAAAGTGAGAGAATGGTGCTCGTCTGACCCATTAAGTGCCTATTACCACGAACTCAATAAGCAGCCAAAAGAGAAGTAAAGCAGCCGCCACGGGTTGCAGTGGCTTTGTTCTCCCTAGGATGTAGGAGACGAACAGGGAGAGTGCGACTTCTTGTCGGCCTAAAAGGCAGCCTAAATCAACCTGTCCCATTGCCATGGCCAGGATAAGAATTCTCAAGGGTTGCTTGAGGGTCCATTTTCCCGTCATGCAGTAACAAAACCATGAAAACAAATTGCCTAGTATTAAATTGGGGAAAAAGCCTGGGGGATCCCTGGGTCTCGGCGAGTAGGTGCGTAGCGTGGACGGGTTAAGTGTCGGACTTACGTCGGGCGTGGTGGGTAGCTGGGTAGAGGCCATTGTTGTGGTCCTTCAGCTTCTTGTGTCTTCCTCCAAGTCCAGTGGGGTTGTTCCTCTTTTATCTCAGCTCTGCCTGTTTTATTGGGAGCCAGCGCCTTCCTCAGGGGCGGGGCTTGTGTCCCCTCCTCTTTTTCGATCAGCCCCCTAGGTTGGGGGAAGATCGTTTGTAGTTTAGCATACCACGCTTTATGTAGCAGAGTATGGCGCATATAAGATGATCTGATGTTTTGTACAATCTTCCCATGACACGTTGCACAACATGTTATACGTGTACGCTACACCCAAATATCAAGTAGCCGAGAGAACATTTCGAGAAAACTTTCGAAGGTTGCCTTGAGAGAACGGAAGTACGAGCGCGCGGGCAACGCATTATAGTACGCGCACACCGCAGCTCATAGCGTAAGAGGCGAGTTGTTTTTATAGTTTCTAAGAAGATTTTCGTGTTTCAAGGGCATCAGAAGTGATCATGAAATGCGTCGAGCGGTAGGTGGTCGTGCAAGGACCAATTTAAACTAGCATTTGTTTTGGTTTGTAGTTTAGCGTAACGCGTTATGTAGCAAAGTATGGCTCTTAAAAGACGATCTGATGTTTTGTACAATCTTCCTACCATGCGTTGGACAACATGTTACACGTGTACGCTACACCCAAATATCAAGTAGCCGAGAGAACATTTCGAGAAAACTTTCGAAGATTTTCTTGAGAGAACGGTCGTACGAGTGCGCGCGCAATGCATTATAGTACGCGCACACCGCTGCTCGTGGCATAAGAGGGGAGTTGTTTTTATAGCTTCGTAGACGATTATCATATTTCAAGGGCATCGGAAGCGATGGTGTAACGCGTCGCGCGGTAGGTGGTCGTGCAAGGACCAATGTAAGCTAGCATTTGTTTTGGTTTGTAGTTTAGCCTACCACGCGTTATGTGGCAGAGTGTGGCGTGTATTAGACGATCTGATGTTTTGTACAGTCTTCCTAAGATGCATTGCACAACATGTTACACGTGTACGCTACACCCAAATATCAAGTAGCCGAGAGAACGTTTCGAGAAAACTTTCGAAGGTTGTCTTGAGAGAACGGAACTACGAGCGCGCGGGCAACGCGTTATAGTACGGGCACACCGCAGCTCGTAGCGTAAGAGGTTAGTTGTTTTTATAGTTTTGTAGACGATTATCGTATTTCAAGGGCATCAGAAGCGACTGTTTAACGCGTCGCATGTAGGTGGTCGTGCAAGGACCAATGTAAACTAGCATTTGTTTTGATTTGTAGTTTAGCATACCACGCGTATGTAGCAGAGTATGGCGCGTATTAGAC